TCGGACGCTCAGGTGGGTCCCGGACGCTCAGGTGGGTCCCGGCACTCAGCTGGGTCCGGACGCTCAGGTGGGTCCCGGGCGCTCAGCTGGGTCCCGGGGCGCTCAGCTGGGTCCCGGGCGCTCAGCTGGGGTCCCGGGTGCTCAGCTGGGTCCAACGCTCAGGTGGGTCCCGACGCTCAGGTGGGTCTCGGACGCTCAGGTGGGTCCCGGGCACTCAGCTGGGTCCCGGACACTCAGCTGGGTCCCGGGCACTCAGGTGGGTCCCGGGCGCTCAGGTGGGTCCCGGACGCTCAGGTGGGTCCCGGGCACTCAGCTGGGTCCCGGACGCTCAGCTGGGTCCCGGGCGCTCAGCTGGGTCCCGGGCGCTCAGCTGGGTCCCGGCAGCTCCTGCAGGACAAGGTACAGTCAAGGCGGGGAGAGTGAGGAAGGAGGTCTCGCTGTGTGCTCGGGGGTCGTGCTGTGCAGACCACTTTATGGTTTGCTTTTCTGAAGTTAAAATGCAACTCAGGCCGTTCCAACCCCCAGGCGCCCGCGGGGCTGCAGCATCGCGTCTCAGGGTTCACAGGCAGGCGGGGAGCCGATGGCACATCTGTGTCCCCGACAGCTGCTGACAGAAACGGGAGCTGGTTTGGCCCATGGGCTGCCATTTGCCGACCCCTGAACAGACCATAACCCATGACCCAGCCCGTTGCCTTAGACATGGGCCCACATCTGCACAGGCTCTGCCTGGGCCCGAAGATCAGGCAGGTGCTTCTCACCCCTCCTAGAGCCCCTGGTGGCTCCCCATGCCAAAGGCCGCCTGCCACCGTCCAGCCGTGGCCTTCGCATCCTCCCCAGGCCAGAGCCACACTTGTGCCCACGGCCCTGGTGCATGTGGCAACCCCGCCCACTGCCTGACCACAGCTCCCACTCAGGACTGTGCCAGCCCCTCATCCTGCCCACTGCCTGGGACCCGGCCCCTCACCCCGCCCACTGCCTGGGACCGGCCCTCCCGCAGGTGCCTGTGATTGTGACTCCTGGATTTTGTGGGCACCAGCACAGAGGACAGCAGTGGGAGGGCCCGCTGAGAGCAGGCACCCGGCCCTGGCAAGGGGCAGCCCCCACACATCAGAGGCTGCCTGCCGGGCGCTGCGTGTGCCGCTGTCCCAGTGCCATCGCCCAAGCACAGTGCGGGACCTCCTCCTGGGCACTGGGAAGGTGTTTTAATCAACATGTGGCCTTTAAAACTAAAAAGCATCGTGTTGCCAGTCACTTGAAGCGCTGGTGATTTTGTTTGTGACCTTGCTCCTAGGATCCCACCTGTGCTGATGCCCGGCCTGGGGGCATCCCAAAACCTCGGCCTCCAGGCGGCTGGCAGAGCGGGAGGAGGGGGCTCGGCCCCAGCACCCAGGCCGCCCATCAGCATCTCCGGGCTCCTGCAGAGGCAGCAGTCAGGCAAGGACCGCGGCCTCCCTTGGAGAGCGTGTGACCAGCGTGGCATGTGTGGCAGCACGTGTTCCCGAGTTGTGTCTGAGCTTCCCCTTGGTGCCTCAGGGCTGGTGGTGCTCACACGGTGTCACTGGGCTGTGCTCCACAGGGTCTGCCAGCCTCGGGGGCTTCCCGCCCAGGAGGTGACATCCTGCCGTGCCCACCGCACTCCAGCCACCCTCCCCGCGCTCACCACACGCTCACGTGAGGCAGTGGGTGGATTGTCCGTTTCTCCTCAATGCAGCGCTCCAGCAATGCCATCAAATAAAGGGTTTTTCTGGTTTTCTGGGCCTTGGAACTACCTTCCTGGCGCCAGGTGCTCCTACACCATGGGTGCCGCGAGCAGCGTCTCCGGGAGGCTTTCTGATCAGCAAGTGCAGAGCCGGGAGGCGGGGCCGCAGTCTGAGGAAGCCCTGACAGAGCCTGCACTGACCCACACGCAGGGCTGGCCAGCAGCTCAGGCCGGCCCTGTGCCTGGTGACTGTCGTCTGTGACATCCTGTCACGTGTGCCTGTGACTCAACGGGACACTGTTCCCAGTGACTGACTCCCCGTAACAACGTGACACTGTTCCCGGTGACTGACTCCCCGTAACAACGTGACACTGTTCCCGGTGACTGACTCCCCGTAACAACGTGACACTGTTCCCGGTGACTGACTCCCCGTAACAACGTGACACTGTTCCCGGTGACTGACTCCCCGTAACAGCGTGACACTGTTCCCGGTGACTGACTCCCCGTAACAACGTGACACTGTTCCCGGTGACTGACTCCCCGTAACAACGTGACACTGTTCCCGGTGACTGACTCCCCGTAACAACGTGACACTGTTCCCGGTGACTGACTCCCCGTAACAACGTGACACTGTTCCCGGTGACTGACTCCCCGTAACAGCGTGACACTGTTCCCGGTGACTGACTCCCCGTAACAACGTGACACTGTTCCCGGTGACTGACTCCCCGTAACAACGTGACACTGTTCCCGGTGACTGACTCCCCGTAACAACGTGACACTGTTCCCGGTGACTGACTCCCCGTAACAACGTGACACTGTTCCCGGTGACTGACTCCCCGTAACAACGTGACACTGTTCCCGGTGACTGACTCCCCGTAACAGCGTGACACTGTTCCCGGTGACTGACTCC